TCTCTCTCTCTCTCTCTCTCTCTCTCTCTCTCTCTCTCCCCGCCCCCCCATTTATTTATCTCTCTCTTCCTATCTCTTTAGTAAGGGCAATTACTTAATCAAAACCAAAACTGACCATAAAAAAAATTGTCATTAAGGCAACGCCTGGACGATCGCCCAATCAACATCTCTCACTTCCTATCTCTCTTATAAGACCAATCAACTTCCTTCACTGGAACGATACTCTTGCAGCACCTCACGAATAGAAACTTGTTGCAACATTTTGCGACGACACTCCTCAAAAGTTCTGAATCGACATTGTCTTTGCCGATTGTAATCGAGATGAATTGCAGCATCCACACATCTCCAAGTGTTCATGCTCGTATTCAATTCCGCTGTTGCTTCCACAATATCTTGCACCCTGTGAGAACTCTCAAGATACGACAGGTATGCAAGTGTTTTTTTTGGGACCAATAGATTCAAGAGAGTCATAGACGGCGATGTTAAAATTAAAAGAACTTCAACAGAAAAAATTTCCAGAATTAAATATTCATTCTATAGTAAAATTACATTCTAAATTTCAGATTTTCATTCTATCTTAAAAAATGTCATTCCAATTTTAAAATTTTTTGTCTGACTTGAGAATTTTCCTTCCAAGAATATGGTATCCCTTCTTATTTGAACTGCATGCTAGAGATGGAAGAAAAATCCGGATGAGTTCATGAAATATTTTAATTAAATTGTCATTCTAAGTAAGGATTTTCAATTATAAATAGGTTAATCGAATTTAAATTAGAAGATATTTGTTGTAGTAGAATGAAAGTTTAATTAAAACATTTCATAAACTCGTCCAGACTTTCATTCCATCTTGAACAAATAGATGTAGTTGGAAGGGAAAGCTCATATTTAGACGGGAACTTATCAAATAAAACTGAAAATTTTAGAATTGGGCAAACATTGGAATGATAATTTATAAATATGAAGGATTTTTTTTTTTATGGAATATTTTTTCGACTTTCATTTCTCGTGGGAATTTTTCTGTTGTTGGTTGTTCCAAGGGTTCTGTATGAACACGAAGATGGTTTGTTGATGACGTAATAGCGGGCACAACACAACTGACAGGAGACGGAGTAGCTGTAGCGGCCGACAAAGCAGAAACAACAACAGAAGTAGTGACAATCGACGTAGACATATTGGATGGTGGAGCATAATCTGCAAGACGTTGAAAATTTGGAGGAGATGTTGTTTGAAGTGGGAGTCTACGGACCGGAGCGCAATGAGGAGTGAAAGAAGCAACCACGGGAGGAATCCTTTTGAGAAGTTGCTGTATCCGTGCATATCTGTGAAAGGGTTGGGGAATGGACCCTTCTGTCGGACAATGTGGCAAATAAAATGTCATCATAGTAATCTCCTTATTAGAGAGAGCAATATACTCATCCCTCAAAAGTGAATTCAACATGGAAGAAGTCTCCAAATCCGAAACATTCAACGGGTTTGAAGAAAGAGCCTCAGGGGATTTTCGTTCCAACCGCATATTAGTGAGTTTGTTTCTTTTCCACTCGAGGAAGTTTTTCCATATTCGTCCATCTCTTACGACTATGGCACTTTTGACAAACATTTCAA